TAATTGAGTTAGATCATGTCCTACAGGGCGTACATCTGTAATCCATTGAGAGCCGAATGATCAGAAGTTCTAGCTCAGTGGCTTTGATATGACCAATTATGTGTCCCTGCTTTAGATTGTGGAACATAGGTCAATTGGGTCGATTTGAGACTCGACAGAACATCATTCGGGACTAACCTAATGGAGCATTCCGATACCTATAGTTATTAGCTTGAGATCTCACTATACTTTTTGTCCGATTTTATAATGATGAGAAAAACCTAATAATTGCTAAAAAATACTTAAAATATTTATTGTGAATTTTAGAGAATTTTTCGGAATTTTATTTGCTAAAAAAATGAGGGTTTTCAAATTGTTTGACTCAACTTTCACTTTAGTCCTGACCTGGTAGTGCCATGTGGTGTCCGAGTGGCCATAGGGTTGCAACGTGGCACCCCATGCCTCACTCTAAGATCACCGCCCATCTGGGCACTGATCCTTAGGCGGGGGACTAGATCGGCATTTAATTTGTTGTTTTATAAGGGGTTGTGTTATGGTGTCTTGTTATATATTGTTATATTTTATTATATAGTGTTATAAATTAAGGCTCCCGGTTTATCACATGTCTTACTTAACTTACACATGGGTCATGCATGGCATGTATGAAGTTTAATTAATTCATTTTTTTGATATTAAAGAGAAAATGTATTTTCAAATTTGAGTTGAAAAATATCTTCACACATATGTGTGAAGGGGGACATTATGTTTAAATTGATTGGTTGGAAAGTTTAGATCTACAAAGTGATTGGCTTTGATAAAGTAGAATATCTCCACATGTGTGAGCTTTGCCAATTACTTCTTTGCCCTTTAGCCTTTGTGGTTTTCTACTCTGATTATTAAAAAAACTAAGGTATTTTTGTAAGGCCATATTGGATACAATTGAAACAAAAAAGGACAAAATGGTAAAGTGACATAACTTAGGGTTAGGGTGAGTGATAATGGTGTGAAATCCTATCCCTTCATCCTAGTGGTTGGATGGGGATGGGTGGCTAGGTACATTAGCCTCTCATGTGCCTTTGGATTAGTGCATCAAGGGTGTTGATTGAGTCCAAGGTTACACCCATGTTATAAAATCACATCATGAGATCTCAAACCCTAACTATCTCAGCTCTTGAACCATTTTGGAAAATTGTTGCTCCCCTCCTTCTTATAAGGTTTTGTTAGAGAAAATTGAAGAGAGAGAGCTTTTAGAGTTCCATTAATAGTGATCTTGATGGTGGTCATGCTTTCTTATGCTTAAGTCCATAGTGTGCATTTATCAAGGTAAATTCCATCTCATAAAATCACATTCTTGGCATTTATAGTTGTTGGAGTTTTGAATTTAGAAAAGTTTATTTGATCTTAGATTCCCCCATTGATCATCTTTTTCATCATAGTTATTCATAGTGTGGTCCTTCATGAGTTATAGCCTATATGCGTGAGAATCGATGATCATACATAGTATCCATTGATTACTTTGCTTCAAATCGATCAAATAATTTAGTCTCAGAGCGTCACACAATTTTCAGAACTTTTTCATCACGTTTTTACCTATGGGGGGTCATAATCTTTCCATACAAAACTGTTTTGGTGGTCCGAGGTACCACCATATGTAGTTTGGCCATAACTCTCTTGTTCTTTATCCGATTCGATTCAAACCTTTTTCATTCTGTTTGGATGATAATTCCAGTGTGTTGAGATCTTAAGAAGTGATTTTGAGGTGTGTAATTGCTTCCCATTTGTATTAGACGCTCTTGTGAGATTGAACCACTTTTGTACAATCCGAAGGGACAATATTAAGTCTTTATAGGGCCCGATTACGTGGCCCTGGCACAAGGGGGTTCGAAACATGACTTCCCTATTTTAATTTGGCATTCTAATTCCCTGTTTAGTTGATTTTATTCTTTAGAATTTTGTTTAGATTAGTTGCATGATGTATTTAAGCTTTTGGAAATAGTTTATGTAATTGGTGTTATGAAAGTGTAATTCATAAGCTAGTCTTGCTTTATATGTAATTGCCCTCTTAGGGGTTGGTATTTGAGTTTATTTACAATGGTTATACAAGGCTAGAAATGGTTGTAATTGTTATTTAAAGGATTGTAACTTATTCATTTAGCTTGGTTTTTAGCAAGTGGCTTGTTGAAGGTGTCCATTTTGCCGTGTTTTTCGGCTTGAAAATTTGCTCTAGTCTTTGTATCTACTATTAGAACCATCGGCACACAATGTGCTGTATGGACATTGTCATGTAAACAGGCTGAGTTTCTCTCTCCATCTACTTCTGCCTCTGCCCACATTTGCCTTCTAATTGTCTAGAGAGAGTCCTATCTCCCTCTTTAAACTGAGCCCATAAAGGGGCCTTTTATGAGAGAGAGAATCACATGAGAGAAGAGAGCACATGCACATGCGACCCATCAACCATTAAACACATAAGAGAGAGAGACCAACACCTCATAAGGATGGTGTCAATTCTTTAAGAAATAAAGGTTGCTTGGTTGCCAGCCACCTAATGAAAAACAAAAGAAAAAGATGGTGGACCAAAGGTTCACCTTATAAAAATGAACCATCATTATGAGTTGTGTTTTATTATTAGTAATAATAATAATAATATTATTATTATTATTTTTTTCAGTTCCAATAAAAAAATTAGGGTCATCACATAGGTTGTCCCAACTATAGTGTTGGAGCTAGTGGTCCTTTCTCTGGTACTGCAATGGTGTTCTTGTTGTTGTTCCCATGTGAATTTCTATCCTTTGGAGGGTTTGGAAGGGGTAGAGTTCACATTTCTTATGAAGTGGAATGTAAGTGGTAGAGGTTACCTTTGAGCTGATCAAAGCTTTTGTGATGTTGCAATTCAAGCTGAGCCATGAAAAGTTGGATGGACAAATAACATGTTGCTTACTTTTTGGAGCCTTCTTTCACTGATCGAGGGGTTCTTGTGGGAGTCTATGCAAAGAGACTGAGTATATTTGAAGTTATTTATCTGTGTAAGGCTATGGGCGACCGCTACCTTGGTGTCAAACTAAAGTAAGCAAAATTTGATGCCAGCCATTAGGGGTGCCTCTGGCTTGGAAGGGGAGCTTCCAAGGCTGAAATTGTGAATTTGTGCTATGTGTTTTGCATAATTATTCTAGCTTACTACTTCTATTACCCTCCTTCATTTTCAATATTTTCTAGTGTTCCTTTTAGTTAGTTATTGTTGAAGTAAGAGGACAAAACTCTCTCATGGAAATTATTCATGAGAACTTGCTTGAGACTACAACGGGAATATTTCTTAATTGATTTATTAAGTATTCTATTTTCTAATAGGAATATGATCAAGAAAACAAGAGTATATCATGGAATACATTTTGCTTTAGATCATTTCATGGAGCATCTCATTAAGAAATTTGGTAAAGAGATCTTCACTTAGAGATGAAGCAAAATGAGAGGCATCGGAATCATTGAGGAGGAATGCTTCAAGATTGATGAACACATTGAAGATGTTAAAGGGGTGAGTGTTGAATAGCCAAACTCAACATCTCTCTAAAGCCTCTTCTCATATTTCATCATCATCTAATCCTTATCCCAACTATTTGGGGTCTTGTACACGAATCTTGTTATATCATTCTGCTCTATCAAGGACCGTATCCTCAACTAGACTATATATCATAACTTTCATTCATGTCCTTTTGGGCCTTACCATTGCGCTTTTAGAGCCTTCACTTGAACCAAATTGCCCTTCCAATCCAGTGCTATTTTAGGTTGATATTGCGCAATCCCAAACCACCTAAGTCTTCGTGCCCCTCATTTGATGACCTATTGGAGCCATCCTTAATTTCCCTCAGATGTATTCAACAAACTTTTGTCCTCCCTTGTCTTGCCACTTATTCATCTCAATATCTTCATCTCAGCTATACGTGTTCTATGAATTCATTGGCTCTTGCTCGCACATTCCATCCTGTAAAGCATGGCTTGCCTTGTAAACCTCCTATAGAACTTCTCCTTAAGTTTCATTGGTATGCGACGATCACATAAGATTCCGAAGGCATATCTCTGCTTCATCTACCAAACTGGAATTCTGTGCGCGATATATTCTTCAATCTCTTCATTCTCAGGGATTATCAACCCAATATATAAAAAATAATGGGATTATCAACTCAAGATATAAAAAATAATCTCTTTTAAGTACTTTTTGGCCATCATTCTTAACTAATTTCTCATTTCTACTTATATTATTACTAAACTTGCATTCCATATGTTCTGTTATAGTCCAACTAATTTTAGAACCTTTTGATCCTAGAATATCCCTCCAAAGTTCTAAACTTTGTGTTAACGCTGTCTCTAGTCTCATCAATCCAAATTATGTCATATGCAAACAACGTACGCCATGGTACCTCTTCCTGTAGAATAGATGCTTATTTAACTCGTCCATAACCAAAACAACTAGATATGCCCAGTTAACTCGCTGTCTCTAGTCTCTTCTCAAATTTGATTTTTATATCTGTTGTCTTATTTGTGTTGTATGTGGCTTGATGTTATATTGTATATCATTATTGTAAATTGTTGGTTTAAAATCTAGTGTAACTCAAGACAACATTTGTAGTTTGAGCACTCTTTTCTCAGAAGAAAGTCTCGGATTGTGTAATGCAATATTCTTCCTCTCATCGAAATATTTTATGCTTTCACCGAAGCATAGAGGGGAAGTGGTATCAATGTAATATTTGGTTGTTGCAGATGATTTGTTGGTTAGAGATCAAGCTGCCATTTTGGCAACACTGTGTTTTAGTAGTTTATAACGTTGATATGCGTTTTTTGCTGCTAGGCAGGCAATTCAAGTTTTGCTTGTAGTTTGCTCTTTTATAAATTGAAGTTAGGAAAGTATAAAAATATGTGTGTATTAGCCTATTGCTGTTTCTGTTTCTTGTGTCACTACTATTGGACCTTGATGTGTTATCCATGGTCTGACGAGTTTAACAATCAAGTTTCGTTTATAATGCTTATAGATGATGATGAAGTGGATCATTATGTTGTATACAACCACAACTATTTTGACCAACTTAAAGGCATATATCAACGGAATAAAAAGGTACAGAACTTTCTCTTGCTGATTATCATTCAAGTTTTGGAATAAAATGGTACATGTACAGTTTTCTTTGTTTATTGCATTGGAAATGGTGTACTGCTTGTAAATGGGATATAAATAAACCTTTTCTATTCATGTCTGCATCCTTTGGCTCATAAAGAAAACTAGTAGTAGTTATCTTTAGTAAGCCTCTTTTTCAAGTTTAGTTTCTAGGAGGACTTTCAAAAGCATCCTTTATCATCTCACTATTGATATAATTCACCAGTTTAAGTTTTTTGCTAAATTGCTTATTCATTGGATGGTTTGCGCATCTGGGAATGGTCACACCACTAGGTTTTGTATGGGACACAAATTTCAGTAAAAAGTATGAAAGATAATGAGAGTTCCTCTAAAGCACACAATCTTCCACCATGTATTATATCTAATCAAAATAAGGATTAGCACTATGAGATGTTTTCTCTTTGTATTGGGGCATGGTTATAATATTCACTTACGTCTATTGCTCATTTAACTTATTTCATTGTAATTTCTCATGTGAATAAGCATATAAGAGTAAATTGCTCCTAACCCTAGTACAGACACACATTGAATATATCAGTCTCATGGTCTCAACACTGGCGGTGAGGGATGATTCAACCTTCTTCTCTTCCAACACATTTTCCTCTTATCCTTCTTCTCTTCCTTTTTGATAAAGCTTCACATGTTATCTAAGCGAGAGGATCCAAGTCTCAGATTGACCTATTTCTAATCCTATTAATCATCTTGTGAAGCCTATTTCTTCAAACCCTAATCTCTTTTATTTTTTTTACTTCTTTTTCCTAAACCCTAAGCAAACTCCCCTCTCTTCTACTACTTCTCCTTTCGTATTAAATTTTCTCCCAAATCAGATTTGAAGACGTCAAATCAGATCTAGCATTTTACAAACCTTAATTTTGCCTATCCTATCTCATCTCCATCTCTTTTCTCCCTTAAGGTTAAGACTGTGATCCCGTGCGCCATCGGTGGAGGAGATCTAGTGTGGGGTGTTGGAAGTCCTTGGGGGTGACCCTTAGCAAGGTATTTGGTATTTTTATCTTCCCATGCTTTCTTGATGTCAATCATATCCTATGTAATTTTCTGATCTGTAAATTGAATGTAATTTTGTAAGTGGCATGCTAGTGAGAATCCCTGACATTATTTTGTACCTTTCTTGAATTAAAAGTTGTAATTTGGACTCTTGTAAGTGATCTGGGCGGTATAAATGAAATAAAATTTTAAACTACATATACTTGCTCAGGTCATGTAGTCCACCTCTCAAATTGGATCCAAGGAGTCAAGGACACCACTAATATACTGAGGACTCCATTTTTCTAGAAATCGTATCCTACTGTTATCTTCTCAAATAGATCCCATGACCCACAACCCATTGCAGAGGTTCATGCTTGGTCCATCAAAGCCAGGGGACACGATCTTAGTCCATGGGTTACAGGTTTCTCCCTGAGGACAAGTGCATGTCCTATTTAACACAATATCTTATGGGTTCTACCAATACAACCAGTGTTGCAAGGAGCCTTCTCTTCCGCACATGTACGCGATACCCTAGATGGCTGCTTCCCAGACGGCTATCTAGTGTACATGAGGATTTTAGCCCTTGTCCTCTCGGGCCAACCACTGCACAATGGGGTCACATTCAGTCCCCGTCCCCTGGCCAACCATCTTGGACATCTCTTTGACCTCATCACGGGATGGCCCTACAAACGCTTATCGGTTGTGCTACATGCCCAGGGCTAAGGGTTTTAGACATCAACCCGAGCCTAGCCAGTTGAATCTCAGGTGAGTCATGGTGTTATTTATCTGGACCACACTCCTATTGGAGCCATCACATCACTACATAAAAAATTCTTAGTATATGCTCTCATAAGGCCTTTTAATGGCCATGTAACCCCAGCAAAAGTAACATCCAAAGATTTTGCCATGTTCCTCTTGGATAATGCAGTACATCATCAAAAGACTTGCCCACGAATGTTGGAGCAAAATGGGATAGTCGAGCATAAGCACAATCATATCTCAGAAACCGCACACTATTATGCATATGAGTGGGGTATGTAGCGATCTTTGGAGTGAGGCATTTCATACCGCCACTTATCTTATAAAATTGATGGCCAATAAAGGTGTTTGGGAGACTATCGCCTCATTATGCTTTCCTGAAAACCTACTGCAGCATTTGTTATGTTTATGTTAACAAGACCTTATGAAATAAAATTTCACCATGGGCTGAAGCATACTGAATCGTAGGTTACGCCGTTGATTATAAAGGGTATCCATGTCCCAAAAAGCAACAGTATCAATGTCCCAAAGAATTGGCGTATCTACATCTTTAGACAAGTCGTTTTTTGATCGGGAACATCTTGTTATGCCCATTAGACCGACTAATTTTGGTATTAAAGCTGGTGAAATTCCCATTCAGCAAGCTAATTCTTCTTTTCAGCAGTCTGTAACTATAGCCATGTGGAGCAACAAGAAAATCACCTAACTGCAACTTAATCTGCATGTTTAGTATGAAGCACTCCTCTGGCCACGCTCCCTCTGGCCAGGTTCCCTCTCTCCCCCATCATCTCCCAGCTCCGCCTCCTAGGTGCTGGGAGGAGGTTTACGCCCTCTACCACAAACCCTCCTCGTCGTCCCCTCGATGCGCAGTTCCAAACTTCCTCCCAGCCTCGCACCTCCCCCCTAGAGCTTCCTACTCTAAGGTCACCTCCTCCCGCAAGCAGCATTTCCCCCTTGTCACCGCCCCACCCCCATTTCCTTCGGAGACCTATGTCTGTCCCTCCAGATCCCTTTTCATCCCCTCAGCTATCTCAGTTCTGCCTGATGTGGTTGAAAAATCTAAGCCTAAGCTCTAGGCTTCGCTTATTGGGAGTTTCAGCCCAGCTCGCCAAGATATCAGGGGTATTGAAAGGGTTGTGCAAAACCACTGGGGGTTGCCAAACCTCACCTGCCGTCACCTCTCCAAAGGTGACATCCTTTTCTCTTTCCCCTCCTCTCATAGCACGCTTCTCGCCCTTCCTTACCCCTATTCGTTCATCTTCAAAGGTGCTCGCTGCTCTCTGCGGGCATGGCTCCCCTAGAAGGGTCTTTCAAGAAATAGAGGGTTTGGATCACGTTCCATCATATTCCTCTCCATGCGTGGTCCTCGGTAACTTCCAGCGACTTGCCGCTGAGTGTGGGTCTCTGGTATCGATTCATTGGATTTCGCTTGCATCCCTACCCCTTGGATCGATGAGAGTCCTCGTGGAACTTTTGGACCCTTCCCATATTCCCAAGGTTTTGTGGCTCCAAGTTGGGGACCTTTTCTTCCTCATCTCAGTCTCTTAGTCCCTGACTTCCCCCCCCCTCCACAATTCAGCCCCTGCTAAGGTCCCGCCAGCATTACAGGCCTCTTGGACTTTGGTGGCTAAGAAAGGTCACCTGTGGAAGGGGCGTTGCCGCCCGCCTGACCGGGGTAACACTCGTGGTTGCCTCTGCAACCCTCTGCCCCTCCAACCCACCTTCTCGCTGCTCTCTCTCGACCTGAGCGGCAGCGGGTCAACCCTTTTGGGCCAGAACCTCGCTCCTTGTCTGTCCAGCAAGGACAACGATGCTTCTCCTTCTCTCGGTAGGTGTCCCCCACCCGCAGCTCCTTTGATGGAAGTGTACCCTTCAGCCGCCCCGTTGTCGAACGCGTGCCCTCCCCTGCTGCCTCGTTACAGGACGTGTGCCCCCTCCCCGATATTTCTCCTACTTAGATGTCTCTCCCTCTGTCTCCCTCTGGCCAAGCGTCGTCCATTGCGTGCTTCTCTACGATTTGACTGGGGTCTCCGAAGATACCCCCTCGCCTTTTGTACCCCTTCTGAAGGCGCCACCCTCTTCTTCCTTTTCGCTGGTCATGTCGCACCACGTGGCCACCTCCTCTCCCCCCTTTACTCTCCTTTATCCTTCCCCTCTCCTACCCATCCTCTTGTCCCGAGTCAGGGCCCCTCTCCCTCTCAGCCCACCTGCTGTCCCCCTCTCCCCTCTTCGGGTTCCTCTGTCGGGCTTTCCTGGTCTGGCTTCCATGTCTATGTGATCCTGAGGCTTCTTTGCCTTTTGGCTGCTTCCCTCCTTGAGAGTTGGTGGATTTATTACCGGGGGCAGTTTTCCCTGGTCTAGAGCCGCTTTACCTCCCTCCCTCCTACCTCTGCAGCTCCTCGAGACCTAGCACAGAGTTTGACGCTCCTCTATCTCTCCTCGTCCCTCCTCCCCCCTTCTACTCCTCCTCGTTCCCCCTGCTTCCTCTATGGTCTTTCTCCCCCTCCCACCTCGATTCCCTCTTGTTCCTCTCCCCCCTTGGCTCTCATGGACCCCACCTACCCCTCCTGGGACCTGGAGTTTGCCGACCCTTCTTGGTTGGCCCCCCCCCCCCTTTGGTTCTCATCCTGTGGTGGTTAGAGTCCTCAAGGTCCACTTGTGCCATCACTGTTTGGGTCCCTTCTACCTTTCTCACCCTATTGTTTTGGCCTCTCACTGCCTAGCTTATCCCCCCCCCCTTGCCCTTCTCTCTCCCTCTGTCCCCCCTCCCCCCTCTTCCTTCTCCTCTTTCTTTGGGTCCTCCTCCTTCCCCTCCTACCCTTCCCCTCACATGTTGCTGCCCTCTACCCTAGCCCTTGCACCCTCCCTTCTATACGCATTGACCTCATCCGTGTACCCCTCCTCCCCACCTTCCCCCTCTGGGGCTTCTCCCCTGCACCCCTTAGAGTGCTCCCTCCCCTCCCCCTTGATCTTTACCCCATGCTTTCCCCTTTTTCTCTGCCGGTTTCCAGCCCCCTGTCCTCCCAACTCGAAGTGCCCATCCCTCCCATCTTGTCCTGTGCAGTCGACGAGGATGGGCGTGGCCTCTCTGAAGCTGCTCTCGCTGAACCCTTCTCTCCCCCTTCGGTGACTCCGGCCATTGAGGGAGTCGACGGGGAAGGGCTGGATAAAGACTTTCAGAGCATGGTGGATATGAA